TCCGACGTTAACGCGCAAAGGGGACTCGTGATTTACACCCCTTTGCCCCCGCGAAACTTCACCCCTCTCCGCGTTTCCGCATTTTCTTGCCAATCTACTCGTAATTTAAAAAAAAAAGAAAAAAACGTCTTACGTCACAATTGCGCAACGAAGAGTGAAAAGTTTCTCGATTATTTCCACTAATGCACGATAATTGAACATATCGATTAATAATTCACATTACCAAATAATTGACTTTCATTTCTTCAATCTTATTAATATTTTCCTGTACATTTAAAATACATAAAATCATTGTTTACGTTAATGTATGTATTTTAACAGAACGAAGAGTGAAAAGTTTCTCGATTATTTCCACTAATGCACGATAATTGAACATATCGATGAATAATTCACATTACCAAATAATTGACATTCATTTCTTCAATCTTATTAATATTTTCCTGTGCATTTCAAATACATAAAATAATTGTTTACGTTAATGGAAGTATTTTAACAGAACGAAGAGTGGAATGTTTTTCAATTATTTCCACTAATGCGCGATAATTAAACGTATCGATTAATTTATCTGAATTTTAAGCCGACAAAGTTCCTCCGGGCGTTCGCTCTCCTTCGGCGTGATTAATATCCCCTGCCCCGTTAAAGTATGGCCATTGCATCGCTTGTTAATCAATCTTCCTGTCGCCTCGCATGTCATTCCTCGGAGATAATCTCCGAAAGGTGATTTGCGAAAGGAGATCCATTCTCTGCCCCGGCATACACCTACACCATAATATGTACGTGTGCGCATGCTTCAGCACTTCGTCATAAAAGCGCGAGGAAACCCGTAGGAAAAGAAAAGGGACGATAAAAGCAATTCTAAAGCGCCTTCCTTAATCTCTTTTTTTTTTTTTAACTCCGAATCTGGCTCTGAGATTTTTCTTAATTTTCCCTCAAAATCATTCGATCTCCCTCCTACAATTAATCATTTCATATATCTCCGTTAAAAAGAAACACAAGAAACATCGTTTCATTTTTCTCCGATAAAAGCAGAAAGCTCACGAGACCTCTAATTGTAATCAGAAAATTAAAAAACAAAATTAAAAATCATGTCAAATCACAAATTTAGTACAACTTCGTATCTCACGCCGAAGAGTTAAGAAATGATAAATCGATTAAAAATCAGATAACGATATAAAAAACAAAATAACTCCATATCATCAAAATCTAAACCGAAGGTCCGTTGACCTCCACGATACGGACATTAAAATCGTACAAAATTCGCAAACATTTATAACAGGATGAGAGCAGTGTCAAAAAATCATTGTAGAAAAAATAAGCGAAACATTTTCGCAGGTGAGGACGAAGGTAAAAAAAAATCGTACAAAATCTGCGAACAGATATAACGTTAGGAGAGAAACCGTAGAAAATGTACAAATACCCCGAAAAGGGAGATCAGCCGTGAAAAACCCTCCTAAAATAGTAGTCGAACATTCTGAAAAGCGAAAAAAAGGTTGCGAGGAAATATCAGGAAAATTTGCAAGCATTTCCGCGAGGCCGGGAGCAATGGGGAAGAAATTCCAGAAATCTCTGATTCCCTCAAAGAAGCATTGTTACCCGAGTCGGAACATAAGACCGATCGGTAGTTCCAGGATAAGCCGGAAAACTCCCGATATCGTTTTTGCGGTGTAAGAAAATTCCTGAGTCCGTCACGGGAGGTATCACAGGAAAATGGGGCTCCCTAGGAGAGCGGAGATTTACCGGGGCGGGATCTCTTTGCATCTGGCGGCCGTTCCGCCGCGGAACAACTGACGTACGGAACGAAACGGAACGGAACGGGGTGGTCGTAAAGGGGGGGAGGGGGGCCGTAATTTCCAAAGTCAACGTCCGAGTATGCAGATTAAATGGCCCCCGGAGCCGCGGGGCCCCATTCGGCCCTGCTTCGGCACTTCCCTCCTTTATTGGCCCTCCCTTCGAAAACACTCGGTATTTTACAGCCGATAGTGGATTAGCCGAGGATTAGACCCTCCGAGAGGGTGCCCGAAGGTGGTCCAGGGCGTAAACTCGCTGAGATACGGGGATTAAAGTGGCAGGGCCTGGTGAGAAAATGAGAAAGAAGGGGCCCCACGAGAGCCCGATAAAGCCCTGATTTATAGCGACGCACCTGAGTCGGATTCGACCCCGTGCCCTGGTGAGGCCCCGGGACGGCTAAATTACCCAGGACACGAGGCCCCCTACAATGGGGCCCCTTAAAAAAGGATCCTGATTTACCGGTACTTTTTATAATCACTGGAAAATATTTCTACCTCATTTTCACGTGCTACGAAAAAGGGTCCTGGGTCCCTTGATTACGACATTTAATAATAATCGCCCTGATTTGTATGATTCACTGTAATTTACAACATTTCTATCCATGGGAAAAAGGGCTCCAATGCTTTTCTATATTTATCATTAACTGCCGTAATTTTTATTACAAAATAGTTTGGTAATTATGCATAAAAGATCCTCTCCGAATTTCGTATAATTTTGATATATTGTTGGGAACGTCCCGATTAATTTCATGTATATGAAATTTCATATATATTTCATATATATACATTTAAAGGTCGGACTTGAATATTTTCGGAGTTACCAAACAATTGAAGAATATCAATAGTGCAATATATAAAATATAACCTGACCTAGTCAATTTCAGTAATAGTTTAGATTAGATTAAAAAGTCAAGAAATTCACCCAAATACTGACAAATGATAAGAAATTCGCTTAATTTTATCTTCGATCTTGGATATCTCTGAGCACCGAACAGGGGACTACATGATAATAAACATACCAAAATATAAAAAAGAATATGAGGTCTGAACGTAAACAAAGCGATGGAACTCGAAAAGTAGCCGAAAGGTAGCTAGCTAAGTAGACCTTTTGCTTTCCTTTCTTCCCTGTGACTCCGAAAATATTCAAGTCTGACCCAAAAATATATTAGGTTGATTTTTTTTTAAACATTACGTTACGTGTTAAAAACGCCTTTACTTATGCATCGACCTAATACATATATATGAAACTATCGAGACGACGTCCTCTACAATATATCAAAGTAATGCGAAAATCGAAGAATATAACCCTATCGTGCATAATTACCAATGGTTCCTCAAGATCGTCATGTCTAATGACGTAATTACCCTGAATTTTAAAATAAACAATAATTTACATGACATTCATCCTCGAGAAAGAGTGCCCGATGATTAAAATAATTTACCTCAATTTCCCGTGTTTTTTACCCACCATAAAAGGTGGACCCGTCGATTATTCATACCGCCGTCCAATATCGATATGTTTAATCGGCAGGGCAGGAATTTTGTGGATTTATGCCGGGCAATTTAAATTAACGCGTCCACAATCACCGATGCGAAAGGGACCAGGAACCCTTTCGGTCATTCCCGATTCGGTCGAGATTAATCCATATTACGCGGGTGAATAAATGATAGTTGATCGATAAGCCCGTCGCATTTGTTACGGGCGATTAATATCGCAGCCCCGTCGAGGGGGGATCGAAGGTAGCCGCAATTCGATTTCCCGAATTTTTCCGAGGCCCGGGTCTTGGCAATTTTTCCAGGAGGAATGCCGATAACCGGGTGTCTCTAAAATTCCGATAAATTCCACGGGTTATAGAATCTACAGCGAGGCGCGATTACGCTGGGAATGAATACGTACCGCCTCCAGAGACAGGCCGGTCCACCTCGCTGCAGCGTCGGAGGATCAATGGCCCGCGGCGGATGCCGCGATCTCCGCGGACCGGCTGTTGTCTCCCCCCACCACGCGGCCCGCCCCCCACTCTCGCGCCCCCCACCACCGGCCGCGCGCGAGTCACCGTCAGCCCGCATCCCCGGCTACGGCTCAGTACGTTGCCGATCGTCGAGGCGTGGACATCGCTCGAGAGCCGTCCCTCGCTACGCGGATTCCACCCCAGAAGTTCACCCCAATTCTTCCCATCTCAAACCGTGAGTGCTCTCACCCTAAAGATATCCCGACCCCTTACCACCAGTGATACCGTAACCGTATTCACAATCGATAACTCGCAACTAATCAAGGAGTTCACTTCCGTCCGACACGAAGTTCCGGGTGAATTTGTGATAATTGCGGTAATTAACGTGATAGGTGAAAGAAATCGAGAAGCAGGCGCATGCGCAGAGGTTGTTTCGGGAAGTGCATTCGCAGTTGCGGCCAATGAGGTGTCGCGAGTATAGTCGGGAGGACGCGGTGAGCCCTTTGAAGTTTGAGGGACCGGAAGTGCCGCTTGTTTCGAGCGTGAGGGAGTCCCTCGGGATCCGGGCGATCCTCCGTTCCCACCGGAATGGCTGCGAGGTCTTGACGTGCCTCGGACAAAAGTGAGGGAGGACCGTTTTTAGGAAACTCGGTGACGGTGCCTTGCACAAAAGTTCGGAGGCCATTCTAGTGAAGATCAACCTTGATGTGAAAGAGAAAAAAAATCCCGGAAGAAGAAGAGGTCGCATCTTGTACCTCACTCTTCAAGATCCTCTTCGAGGTCTGGACGCGCGTTAAACGAGAGGTTGAAAAACCATCTCAGTGAATATCAAAATTTAACGGAAAAAATCCAAGCTTGAAGAAAAGAGGTCCTCCTCATGGCGAGGACGAGTTGACCAGCGAAACCATCTCAGTGAATATTAAAATTTAACGGAAAAAATCCAAGCTTGAAGGGAAGAGGTCCCTCTTCGAGGTCCTCCTCATGGCGACGAGAACTTGATCAGCGAAACCATCTCAGTGAATATCAAAATTCAACGTAAAAATCCAACCTCGAAGAGAAGAGGTCCTCCTCATGGCGACGAGGAGTTGACCAAGTTCGGCCAGAAGTTTGGAAACCGTTTGTGTGAAAATCAGTGCCCTGGATAAGGAGAGGTCGCTGCACCTTGCTCTTCGGGATCCCCCACAAGGTCCTCTTCTACATGGCCAAGTTGGAGGTCGAGGATCAGTGCGCAGGATTCGATCTAGGTAAATGTGCGATCCCACGGCTCTGCTGGATCTGGTACCCGGGCAGGGATTGCTGAAGAGGCCCGCCATGGATTACAACGAGTACACCTACTGCTACGGCGGTGGTCGAGGTGGGTGGCTTCCCAGTCGAGACCTCCGACCACCCTGGTCGAGGCTTCCCTCCTAAAGCCTTAAAGAAATAAACCTTACCAAACTTCCTGGGGAGGACGCTCGGATGGAACCGTCCTCCACGTTGCGAGGAACGTTCCCGAAGAGCGACCTTAGACCTTAAAGGCGATATCGAGGTTCTAAGAGGTCAATCGTTCGTGAAAACTTGTAAATAAGGAAGATCGATTCAAACTTTACAATATAAATATGGAGGGTGTAAAGAAGGCCGTAAAACTCATGAAATTTCAATTTCTTTAATTTTTCTAATTGGTATTTTTAAAATTCAATTGAAACTTTACAATACAGGTATGTAGGGTATAAGGAAGGCCGTGAAACTCATAAAATTTCAATTTTTTTCTTTATTTATTCGTAGATATTTATAAAATTTAATTCAAACTTTACCATATAAATATGGAAGGTCTATGGAAGACCGGGAAACTCATGAAATTTCAATTTTTTGTATTTCTTCATAGATATTTGAAAAGTTCCATTGAAACTTTACAATATAAATATGGAGGGTGTAAGGAAAGCTTATGAAATTTCAATTTTTTTTTATTTGTTCATAGATGTTTTTAAAATTTATTATCAAGAGTGAAATGTCATCAATGCCAAAACCTTCTTTATAGTCTCCACGTTTACGTTGCAATGTTTGAAACGAGTCGGTACACCCAGTTTGGAGAAAAGTTTCATAAACGGTTGATTCTTCAGATGCCACTTTCACATCCCCTTAAGAGCTTAAGGAAAACCCTTACCCCCATGAAATTTCATATTTTACAAAGGATAAAGAAAATGTTCAGAACGAAATCCCGTCTTGCAGATAACCAAATGCAGTAAATCGGATTTGTTCCATGAACAAATTTTTTTTATTGCCTTTTCGGTGGGCGTCAAATTTGATTGCGATTTTTGATATTATAATTAACCACCAAATTTTATCATCTTCACCTCGAAAGTGATATTTTCTCGGGGATCTACCTTATCGGTACTCCGGGAAGCATATTCGAAAATCTTCGCGTGGAACTTCTGACATTGATGGCCTCGCCTCCATTCCACCCTGGAGACACCTAAAAAGCAACCCCTGAAGACTCGAGGCCACATCCACCTCGTGGTATTTATCAGTGTGACATTTCCAAATGTCGCCGCTTTATCAGCGCCGGTAAGCGCGCGGCCGCGTGACGTCACTGCCGATATATTAAATTTGCATAATAAAACGAGGCGCTCCAGCAGGAATCCATCGCGGTCTGGAGGAGACCTCGTCTCTCTCTTGGCGACTGCCATGACGAGGGCGAACCTCCCCCTGGAGCAAAGACCTCGCCCTCTGCGACCCCCACGTCGGGGTTATTCACTTTAAACCGTTTCTAAGTCCTGAGGGTTAACGAGGGAGCGCTTCAGACGGAGCCTGAATGCGACCCGAGGATCCGAAACCTCCGCGCAGAAAAAATTAGTAACGATCCCATGTGACCTCGCGGAGTCTTCCTCAGGGTTCATCTGGGGTGGCCTGAGGGTATGAATATTTAAACAAAAAAAATTAGTGCGATCTCCTGTCGCATGAATGCGACTCGAGGATCCCAAATCTTTGTATAGAAAAAATAGTAACGATCGTATGTGACGTCACGGAGTCTTCTTCAGGGTTCAACTAGTGCGACTTGAGGGTATGAATATTAAAAAAAATATAGATACGATCCTATGTGATGTCGCGGGGTTTTCTGGGTTCATCTGGTGTAGCTTGAGGATTAAAAATATATAAAAAAACATACTTGAGGGTATGAATATTAAAAAAGAAAAATAGATAGGATCGTATGTGACGTTGCGGCGTCTTCAGGGTTCATCTGGAGTGACTTGAGGATTTGAACATTTAATATTAATAGTAACGATCTCTCACGATACCGCGGGATTTTCATCGGAGCTCCAGGAAGCGATCTGAAAATCCAAAGTTTTCACAAAAAAGAAATGTTAGTAACGATCCCCCGCGATACCACCGAGCTTTCTTCAGGGCTTACGTGGCGCGACCTCAGAATTCGAAATTATTTACAAAAAATAAAAGTCCGGCACTGCTACGAGCTTGGCGTTGTGCGACTTGTGGATCCGACATTTAAAAATAAAAAGAGAAGAATCAACCATGATCCTTCGCGAAGTTCTCGTTCCTCGGGGCTCTTGAGGAAAATTCTACCAAAAAAAAAGTATTAGTAACGATGAGCCGCAGATTAGCCTTCGAAGTTTCACGTGACATGACCCGAACCTACCCCACGTTCAGCCTTAAAAGTCTCGCGAGAAAGAAAGAATGAGTAACAATCGGTCACGGATCGGCCTTCGAGTCTCCACGTGGCGCGACTCCACTTCTAAAAAATTGCCAAAAAATAATTAGGATCGATAAACCGCAGATTAGCCTTCGAAGTTCCACGTGACATGACCCAAACCTACCCCACGTTCAGCCTGAAAAATCTCGCGAAAATGAAAGAATGAGTAACAATCGGTCACGGATCGGCTTTCGAGTCTCCACGTGGCGCGACCCGGACCTGCCCTACAGCCGACCGGGTTAGGAGTGTCACGGCCCTCGGCGGGAACCGATCTCTAAGACCCGAGAAGTGATCTTAAAATCGAATTGATTGCGGATTTCTTTCGAGGAGTTTTCTTGAAAAGTACAGGGAGCCCCGGGACTCCGTTTGATCCTCGTTAACGGCGTCCACCTGTTCCCCCGGGCCATATCGATCGGCGTCGCGACGCTGTACGGATCTAATTGCCGAGGACGTCGGGCCACATTCGACAAGTAGATGTAGCCACCCCTTGAAGATTGCCGACCCCCACCGGGAAGTGGGACCTTAACGGCACTTCCTTCCAATATCCGCGACCTGCCAACTGCAAGGAGCGTTTTTCCGGGACCCCCCGCGACGCCCGGGACGCGTCTCAACGCCGTTCCCGCCGATTGATTTCGACGGTTTTTTTCGAAAACCCCTCCGACCTGCTTCCGGTCTATATCCTGCGAAGATTCGATTTTGAGCCTCCGACTTTCTACCGCGTCCGAGGAAATGGCATTTCCTTTATTTATTTATTCTATTTCGTTATATTTTTTTTATATTCATTTGACAGCTTCATCCTGGAAATTGGCCAAGCTTTGACGAGCGATTTCAGAGTCGATGAGAAGTTAAGGGGATTTAAAAGGCCCTTTGGAACCAGACTTTTTAGGGATAAGGATATAGGGTTTCTTATTTTTTATCTGGTCTTTTTATTTGTTACAGATCCTACCCTTTTCTCTAAATTACTTAGACTTAGAAACTGTGAGAGTTTGACGGGATGAATTGTATTTAAATTGCGCGATTTTTATCCCCGATCAATGAACAAAATATTTATATCTTTTAGGGAGCTCAGGAAATGAATCTTTATATTTTATTTAATATTCGCGCAAGTCGCTTCGAATGATTCCCTACAAATTGTTTGACAATAAGGAATAATTAGTGTTGCTGGTCAGAATGAGCTTTTAAATCGTGCGATTTTTATTGTCGATGAACAAAACTAAATTCTTTACGGGACTCATAAAATGAACCTTCTTTTACATTTGATTTAATATTCACGCAAGTCTTTTCGAATGTTTCCCTACAAATTGTTTGACAACGAGAAACAATTAGTGTTGCTGGTCATAATGAGCTTTTAAGCCGCGATTATCATCCTTGATTAAGGCCTAACCATTAATAAACGAACTCCTTGATTTTTATATCCAAAACAATTTTTATACTTTACTTCGACTTGTTCCTCGCACTGCGAATTTTTATTCCTTAATTTGCCTCGACAATGTGTGTAATTGTACAGTTAAATTACGGGACGTTAATCCTCGATTAAGGCCCGGCCATCCTTTCCAAGCCGACAGGAAGTGCTCGGTTAAGGTCTTTCCACCCTTGTACCCTCATATATGGGTAATGAGTACAGGGTAATGTTAAAGCATTTCGGTACGCTTTTATGTAGGTAGATCGAAATCGGCCGTTAATTGCACTTATTAACACACCGGTGGTCGAAATATCGCGGGGGCCCCATCTCGGTGTCGGGATTTTTCCCCTTTCCTGGGCCGGCTCCTCGAGGCATTCCTTCGGGGTAATCATCGCAATTACAACAATGCATATTATAGTGATTAGGGCCGTGTACGCGATCAATGGTCGCGTGCAATGGAAAATTGCAGCCGCGCAAGTACTTCGCGTCAGATCAGGATCGAATCGCGAAAAAGCGTTCGTGCCGAGGCTCGGGTTCCTGAAATAGGACTTTATTTTCGTAGAAACGAACCTTTGCCCTGATATAGAGCTGGATATACGAGCAGCCCCGTTGACAATTCCCCGCCACCCTCGGCGTCGATGTCGAGGTCGACTTCGTCGGCCAGTAATAAGGCTTGACATAACCTTTCGGTGCTACGCGGATAATCGCGACACGCGAGATAATTAAATACCGCGGAAAATCGAGGAAGAGGTAATTCCCGATAACGAGTGACGCATATTTGCCCGTTTCTTTTTTGTTTCCCAATCTTCAGTGGTGGATAAATGATCCTCGAAAGGGGGAAGAATTAGTAATCGGAAGTAATGATGTCGATCGAGGGTGAACGGTAATAATTATTCTTGTTATAATTAATTTAACGTATATTTATGCAGACATTTAATCGAGATAATTAACCCCTTGAACACGGAGCCATTTCGACATATGGGCGAAATTCGTCTGACCGTGCAGGCAATATTGGACCTAACGTCGCGCGCCTTTAGGCGCTCTTAGTAGCCAAAGGGTTAAATATCGCGGCAAATCGAGGAAGAAGTAATTACCGATAATGAGTGATGCAAATTTTCGCGTTTTTTGCTTCCCAATCTGCAGTGACAGATAAATTATCCTCGAGAGGGGGAAGAATAAGTAATCGGAAGTAATGATATCGATCGAGGGTGAACAGGAATAATTATTCTTGTTATAATTAATTTAACGTATATTTAGACACAAACTT